CTCTGAGAACTAAGGACTAGATCCCAAAATGTCAAGTTTATCCTTTTAATTCCAATCAGAAGTTACTGAAGACCAAAAAGTGAATGCCCAAAAAGGACATTATAGTGGAATGACTGACATTGTAACTGATAATGTACCATCTGTTTTCAAGGTATACAATTTCTATCTGGTGATTGAAAAATTGTAATGATTTACGCTTGGTGATGATTAAAAGGTTATATTTGAAAATCAGAAAGTTTCATGTCCCTACTCTGCCAATTACTAAATCAGTAAATTACTGTGTAGACCAAATTACTTGGGCAAGTTTCTTTCTCTATAGAAAGGGGACAATAATAATATCCACCTCCATACGTTATTGCAAGGATTAAATGAGAAAATGAATGAAAAATTAAGCACAATGTCTGCCACACATTAATCTTTCAACAGATCTTAGATTTCTAGGAAACCCTATTATGATCATAGCTGTTGACTTAGAGGACACATCTCCTGTTGTATTATCATTACTCAAACAAAATCCCCCTTCGTTTATTCCCCCAACTCCCCACCATATTACTATTTTCCATTGTTGTTTCTAACCTCAACCTCACCCCTATGCCATAGTATTAGAGGCATAAAAGAACAAAGAGTCAGAGCCACAAAAAGTCTGTTTTCCAACCTGAACGTTAAATTGCTTCGTCTGTGGGTAAATAGTTACCATTTTCCACACCAGAGGAAGGTTATTCTAACAAGCTATGGAGTCTAAATGACACTGTCAACAATGCATTAGTTCATTTTACCTTTGCAAAGTGAAATTAAAAGCACTTATTGAATGCATACATTTGAACATCTTCACCAATGACTGATCCCAAAGTAGACTTCGCAGTTTCACCAAGCTTTGTATCTCCATATTGTTTTGCTACTACTGCTCCATAGAAACCCAGCAGCAAATCTTTGAAACATAGCCAGAGAATAAACCCCTAATTCTAACTGATTGTAGCAAGGAGCTCTGATGGTGCAGTGGTTAAAGCATTCAGTTGCTAATCACAAAACTGATGGGAGTTGGAACCCACCAACCAACTGCTCCATGTGAATAAGGTGAGTCCATCTGCTTCAGTAAAGATTTACAGCCTTGGAAACCCTATGAGATAATTCTACTCTGTCCTATAAGGTCACTATGAGTCAGAATCGACTCAATGGCAGTGGGTTCTTCTAGCCATAGCACTTAGACACCAATGGGTTAAGAGATTATCCCTAGTCTGTGAAGAGTCCCAAGAGAGGTCTGCAATAATCAGGAGGAGGGGGTTCACAGATTAATGTTTTGTTTTTTTCCTAAATAGCCAATGCACATTTCTAAAGAGCAAAATAAAATTATGCATTTGTGAATGATTTGCTAGGAGAATGGTGAATGACCTTCTAAGTGATTAGTTCGTTAATGCTGGCTTCCTGTTTGTGTACATTTTTGGGAGCCCCTATAATTTATGTCTGCCTTTGACCTTCTCAAGGAGGACTTTTCTACTCTAATCCCAGGAGATCCTATTCCATTATCTCGCTTACCCTCTCCCACTCCTCTCCCCCGCCTTCTTCCATTATCACCTGCTCTCCATTTTCACCATCATGTAACCAATCCTCTCTTCTCTCCTTATCACTACAAATTCAATGTGAGAATAAAGGAAAAAAAAAAAACCTTTAAAATAGTTAATAGCTGTATATAATACCCAAACCAAACTCACTGCCATCAGTCAACTCTGACTCACAGTGACCCCCACTAGGTTTCCAAGTCTGTAAATCTTTATGGAAACAGAATATCCCATCTTTCTTCCATGAAGAAGCTGGTGGGTTCAAACCATGGACTTTTTAGTTAATAGCCACATGCCTTAACCACTACACCACTGGAGCTCCTTATGTATAATATGTGGTGGGAAATTAAATTGTTAGGTGGTGGCATCTTTGGAAATGACTTAAACACTCTATTCTTCCTGTCTATGTGTTATTAAACTTCCCCTTACTCATCTCCAGGCTCTACAGAAAATGAAAACATTTTCACAATAAAATCACACAGGTCTGTCTGTTATGATTTATACACTGAGTGGTCCAGTAAAGTTGCATTTAAATTAAATCCTTTCTTAATGCAGTAGTAAAATTGACTATTTAAAGAACTCTCATGGTAAAATCTTTCAAGTGGAAAACAAATGTTTCATACAGCAAATGTGTACCTTCTAATTGATCAAATATCTAGGTCTTTTTATAACTGATCTTAAAGCAAGTTGCACCTATACACCTCAGAAGGGCACTTCTTTTACTGAAGAGGTATATCTCAGATACAATGAAAATGAACTATCAGAAAATGACCTTGTTAAAATTTGACAATCTTTTAAAACTCGCACACTTGCAACACAGACTTAAAGAGCCTCTATCTACATAACTATTAACTAGCCAAGTCTATGAATTTCACACATTAATTCCCACATATATATTAATTTCTAATATATGTTTTTGAACTCCCCATGTGGAAATTCTCACACCATTCCTGCACATAAACTCAAAACAGGTATGAGATGGTTATTCCTTAAATAATCTCAACCTTGTATTTTGAATAATGAGAGAATCTGTTAATTGCTTTCACAATACTGAGCATACAAACCACAGTATAACATTTAATAACAAATAAGAATGAACCTTCCAGAGAAACCTGTTGAGTTTCCATACCAAGAAGCCATATTGTTTCTATATCAAGCATAAAGTTTGAAATGTGTGAATAAATCCGTAAGTACTATCGTCTTATACAAATAATGATAATCAGGAGTACATTTTGAATTCTTTTTTCCAGCTCCCAGCTCATTGTCTGGCATGCAATAGGTACTCAATAAACTTCTATTTAAATGATACATGAATAAATGACTATGTTCTATGATTGAGGTTGCTTTACCCACACATTCTCTTGACAGCTTTCCTTTTGTGACCAATGATATGGATTCTCGTGACAACCCTTAGCAGTTTAGAGGAAACAATTTGAAGCCTATGTAAATTAGTTTTCTTTTGTTTTCTCCGTGTGAATGAACATGCTCATGAAGAAATGAATCCTTTAGACTTTTACTTCTTTTGCACCATTATCTCACCTAGTGTGTCTCAAAGTATAGTGTTTGGACTGTTCACAACAGAATCTCCTAGACTGACTGATGTAATAGCAATGATGTTGACTTACAAAATGATAACCCTACTCCCAAACGGTTAGAGAGGCAGAAATAAAATAATATAGAAGGAAATATACATTCCTAACATTAATGAGAGTATATTATAATTAACCAAATGGTTGATTAGATAGAATCTGAGGGAGGAGCCTGAGAATCTGTATTTAAAGAGCCTCAACTTCACTTTACCTGGGTGCTTCCTCGTGATTCTGATGCACATTAGTTTGAGAACCTTTGCCAAGGTAGAGTTCAAATGAAATTCTAAATCATAGTTCAACTAGACTAAATGTTTAGAGCAAGTAAATTAATGTCTTATAAAATACACAAATTGGGTAACTCTAACGCTACTTTTTCAGAATCTAAAAAAGAAAGTGAAGAAGCAAGTATTTGTCACTATAACCAGTAAAAAGCAAGTTTAGTGTTTGCTTCATTCTGGTCCAGTTTAGAATCCAAACCAAATATCATAACATTACAAATGTCAATAAATGATTTCCAAATGAAAATGCTCTGCAATCATCTGATAAGGACTGGGTGATTATTGTCAAAGGGATGATGTTACAAGGATGTGTGGATGGTCAATTATTAATAATGTGTAATTGTCTATGATTGACTCTTCTGCTATGAATGAGTGAGGGAAGTCCGGTTCACTTTGAGGAAATCAGGGACTAATCAAAAACAGATCTTTGTTGAGATTGGCCCAATATGGTAGTTATTTTGAAACCCCATGGGAAAGAACATGCAATTTTATTCAAAGAATTATTTCAACCTTCAGAGAAGGTACTCTGCAAATTTAGACTAAAAAATAAAACTGTCATATATAAGAATAGAGAGTGGACTAAAGCATATATATTCCTTTCTAATAAAATATTTTTTAACTCCCTGTGTTAACATTTAGAATTCTATCACAGACAACACAAACAACTGACTTTCAGTGATCAAAAAATTAAATACCTGAATTATAGCAAAGAACTTGACTCAGGAAATGTTAACCTTAACCCTAAAAGGTCAGTCAGACATAAACAAAAATAAGAAGAAATCTATATTCCTAACATTAATAAGAGTATGTTATGATTAACCAGCTGGTTAGATGGCACACATGCACACACACGTATACATCTAAGGCATGTACAATAATAGGAAAAGTAATCAAGATTTGCTCTGGAGCAGTAGCAGGTAGATTTTTATCATCCAGTTTCTTAGGTTCCTGCACAACCATTTGTCAAGGATATCTTTTAAGGTGTTTGGTTCTGACCTACTGACCTATATCTCTGAAAAGGCTTCCTGACATTCTCTGCCAAGGAAAAATATTCTGAGTTTCTCTCTTTAACACTTCATGTGTACTTCAGATTTAAAACATATAGGTGTGTAGTATTATCTTGGCTTGCTCTATTTAAAAGTCACTTTGTTGTTGTTGTTGCTGGGTGCCACTGAGTCAACAGCCACTCCTAGCAACCTCATGTCACAGAGCAGAACTGCCCTACAATGTTTTCTTGACTGTAATCTTTATAGAAGCAAATCACCAGGTCTTTCTCCAACAGAGCCAATGGGTAGGTTTGAACAGCCAACCTTTCAGTCAGCAGGCAAACGCTTAACTATTTGTATCACTCACTAATGGAGAATTTTATACAAATGATATTTTGTATGTAGTCCAAGATGATTTCATTGCAAAAGCCCAACAGAACCTCATTCTAAGGAAGCCTTAACCTACAAAGTCAATATTCTAGAAAAGCTCTAAATCCACAGCAAGTTGGCTCTCTATAGGAACCTCTTTCTTTCCAAACCCAATTACGTTTAAAATCTCATTTACCATAATTTGGTAGAACCAATTCCTACCTGTAACTTTCAATTCAGTTGTTCGTCTTACTAGTTTTCCTTCATATTTAAGTTCACAAGTATAATTTCCTCCATCTTCTTCTTGGACTTCCTGGATTAGAAGCGCATTTCCTTTTTGTATTATTATGCTTCTCCACATTTTTGGCTTGCATTCCTGTACAGAAAATAGTTGCAAATAAGAAAAAAAATTCACATCACTAAGCGTTAGTACTGGCAAGTTAGGATGCTCACGTTTTTTTCTGCTCTTTAATTTTCAAAATATATAACTAATAAGTTAAGTCAATGACTAGACAACATCACAAATGTATCCTATTGTGTCCAATTCAAACATCACAACTATCACACTAAAAGCCACTTGAAAAGGCTGATCCCCACATGCCCTTTTAAAGGCATACTGCAAAAAAAACAAAGTCAACAGAAAAGTATACAAGTCCCCCAAATGCAAAGAGGTACAGCAGAATCTTAAAAGTAACTAATTATTATTATAATGTCCTGGTACTTTCTATTTTACAGAGCTATTTTCTAAGTCCTAAGAGCACAACACTCATTTAGCCATATAGTATACTCTAGGGGAAGTTAAGGCACTATTCATTCACAATACTTTTAGAATGACAAGTCTACAATGATAACGATTTTATTAATTACCCCTTATAAACCAAAAAAAGAAAAAGAACTGCCAACGAGTCAATTCCAACTCATAGAAACCCCCTTTGGGATTCTGAGGTGGTGAGGTGGTAAATCTTTACGGAAGGAGATTGCCCAGTCTTCTTTCCGCAGAGTGACTGGTGGGTTAAATGCCTTAGGCACTGAGCCACTAGAGCTCCTTATGGGGGGGGGGAGGGGAAGAGAACGCACCAAACTAACACTTTCTCCAGAGACTTGCTCTTCATATTCAAGAGATCCATTTAAGAGTGTGTGTGTGTGTGTGCATATGTGTATGTAGGGTGGAACAATAGTGCCTAGAAAATTAGACCTGAGGAGTTCTGTAAAAACATAGCTAGGTAAAATGAGGACACACTTTTCATAGCAACAGCATGAAGATATCATCCACTTACTTTCTGAGTTCAGTAATAAATGACCAAAGAATAAAATTTGAGTGTTGGAGCCAATTTTCCTACTCTCCTGATAGAAATGCAAGAGAGTCTTGCTACCAGGATTGAACTTCTTTAGAATGTAATATTTAACACTTATCTAGAGAATGATAAAGGAGCACTGGTGATGTAGTGGATAAGGCACTTGACTGCTATCTGGAAGGTCAGTGGTTCAAACCCACTAGCTGCTCAGTGGAAGGAAGATGGGATAATCTACTTCCGTAAAGATTTACAGCCTTGGAAACACAATGGGGGTCGCTATGAGTGAGAAAGGACTCTACAGCAGTGAGTTTGTTTTTTTGTTTAAGAAAGGAGACCTGGTTGCACAGTGGTTAAGTGCTTAGCTACTAACCAAAAGGTCGTGGTTTGAACCCATTGGCTGCTTCACAGGACATATATGTGGCAGTCCATTTCTGTAAAGATTGCAGCCTTGCAAACCCTATGGGACAGATCAACACTCTCTGATAGAGTCACAGTGAGTAAAAATTGACAAAATCGCAAAGGGTTTGGTTTTTCATGTATATATCTGAGAATATTCAGCCAAGTGGTTTTGCCTTTTGGGAATTTTCTCAGGTTATAGTTTAAATATTATTCCAATAAGTCTACAAAACCAAAACATCAAACCCACTGCCATTGAAACTCATAGTGACCCTACAGGACAGAGGAGAACTGCCCCATAGGATTTCCAAGGCTGTAAGTCTTTACAGAAGCAGATTGCCACATCTTTCTCCCGCAGAGTGGCTGGTGGGTTTGAACCACCCACCTTCTGTTTAGAAGCCAAATACCTTAACCAGTGGTCCACCAGAGTTCCTTATGTCCAACCAAAGTGGGGGCCAAATGCTGTACAAATATCAGTGGAGGCAAAGAGGGAAACTGCAAGGGAGTGCTGATGAATCAAGGCAAAAAGAGTTTTATCATCTAAATTCTTAGACAGTTGGTTGAAGCAATAAAAGAAATTGATTATGAAGCAGATGATGTGAAGAACAGTTGAGAGCACTTTCCACCTTCCCCACCATGGATGGTCTATATCACATTTGCATCTATCTCTTCTCCACCTCCCCACACATACACACCCTGAGAATGCACATAAAGTAGAATCCATGCTGACTCTCAATTCCCCAGCTCTGAGCATGTGTGTATTTGTATGTGTGTGTGTGTGTGTGTAAATGATTCGAGAGAGTGAGTGCCTCCTTTTATTAGTTTTTCAGTGTAACAATTTTTTTTTCTTTTATGTTAGCAGGAGTTTTGACAACAAAACACAAAAACTGGCACTTAAATTCACAGGTATAATATTTAAGAGCTATGCTTGCTTTATGTCCAATACAACTACCCACACACATTGTCAGAGAGTAAATAAAAAGTAATACTATCTGGGGCATTTAGATATAAGGCTGTTTCACCCCCTAGGGTCTTTCTGAAGAACAGTTAAGGGTCTGTCTGAAATTATATTACATACCATGTCTGGCAAAGTTTATCACCTATATGAGATTTGCCTCTGAGTTAAACCTTGGGATATAAGGTTTCTGGGAAAATGAAGAAGAAAGTCTGAACTGAGAGAAAAAAGCCCAGCCCAGCTGCCACTGTCGTCATACAATAATAATCCACAATTATTTTCGCATTGCTTCCAACTCTGATAGCCTCAGATTTCTGAAGAATCATCCTGAAGGTCATTAAACAAAAATATGGTCCCTTTGGGCATTTTGAAGGGAAAAGAAAATGAAAACTGAGCTGCTGTGCTTTCAAATAGTGGTGGTGGGGGCGGGCAAATGAGCCCACACACTCATTTTATTCAAAGACAAATGGCGGCATTTTCTATTGTCATTTTGGGGAAAGTCCATATGCAATTACTTCTAAACATTTTCTTTTTCTCTGCTCACTGCTTTGCGCTCCCACCCTCCCCCTCGCCAGGAAGTAAAAACTGAAGAATATAATAGGAATGAGAGAATACTCCTGATGAAAAACAGCCTGGTGTATTTACACATTCTTTGAATAGTTATGTTGTTGTTGTTGTTATGTGCCCTCTAGTCAGACCGACTCATAGAGACCCCGAAGCAGTATCACTAAGGAAGTAGATTGCCCCATCTTCCTTCCAAGGAGTGGCTGGTGGGTTTAAACCACCAGCCTTCTGGTTAGCAGTCAAGTACCTTAGCCACTATGCTACCAGAGCTCCCTTGAATAGTTATAGATAGTCCCAAATGCTTTCCAAGTTGCTGTCTGGCCTGGTAAAGGATTCTTTGTGCCAAGTTTTTTTTTGTTTTTTTTTTCAAACTATGACATAGGAACATATTGTCTTCAGGCCATCTCCCTTCCTTAGAATTAGTGTAGTACATAGGTGAAAGGGAAAACTGGCTTTAGAGCCTGACAATTATGTTCAAATCTGGAGTCCAGTCAAGTTCTATGCTCTTGGACAAGTGTGCTTAACCCCTCTAGATCTCTGATGCATAATCTGCAGTATGGAGATCACAGTAACTACCGTGTGAGGAGTCATAACTTAGAGGACTGCAGGGTTTATTCACAACACTTCTATTGGGCAACACAATAAAGAGTGGTCCTCAACCAGAGAGAATGTGCTGAAATTTTCCCTATCCTGGATTCTATTTCCTCAAAATTTGCTGCTCTGCTTGAGGAAAACTAGTGCTAATGAACTAACTATATAAAAGAAAATCTTCACTAATGGGTTAACCATCCCTCCCCAACAACATAATACTTTAACCCACTGAAAATGTATAGCTCTGAAGAAGAGGCAACCCCAGTACTAATCTTAGTAGGTAGGTAGAGGAGCTTTTTTGTTTTTGGTCAGAAGAGCCTTTAAAGTACTCTTCTCATCTCATTATATAGATCTTGTCCCCACCATGTCATCCTTCATAAGATTACCCTATTGGCTTTCCTACCCAGATCTCCGTGTCTGTATGAAATCTCTGAAGTCCAGGCTCCTTACTTCATTACTTTCAATGTTTCATCCCTAAACTGATACTTGCTGGGCTTACTGCTGTCGCTACTTTCTTCCTGCCTCAACTCTTCCCATTACCTCACTCCTAGTGGACAGACAGCATTGCCAGACCTCAGTGCCCTAGACCTGTTTCATTTCATTCTGTCATAGTGTTAAGGCAAATAAGTTTGAAACACATAGGTCAAGTCTCGAACTGGTTGTTTATCTGAAGCAAAGACAAACCGCAAAAGTTGCAAGTGTGAGTAGGCTTCTGACATTGACCTCAGCATATAATTTTCCTATTATTTAATGCCCCTGGGGCTATTAAAACAAACTTCATCAACTTGGAGGTCTTGCTGGAGTTTCTTAAGTTCATCAAGCAGCTCCAGTTCATGGCTTGGCTATTTCCTCATCGAACACTTCGCTGTAGGACATCCTTGATCAGTCAACACAACGTCAGCCCTTAAACCCCAGCTTCCTTTCTCCCCTCTCAACCTCTCTGCGTGGCAGATGTCACTTGTCAGCAGTTGCTCGGATAAGAGCCTGGAATGTACAACAGAGACATCTGTTCATTTAAGCCCCCTAAAATGAACCTGGGGAGATCTGGTAGTGTAGTGCCTAGGGCACCTGACTGCTAACCAGAAGGTTGGTGGTTCAAACCCACCAGCCACTCCTCAGAAGGAAGATGGGGCAATCTACTTCTGTAGTGATACCACCTTGGAAACCCAAGGAGGGGTCGCTATGAGTCAGGTCCAACTCCATGGCACATAACTACAGCAACAACTCAAAGTGAACTTGATGCCAGCCACATTAAGATCTGAGAGTCTCCACCCTAACATATTCACCACTGTACTCATGGTCTACTTTTGAGATATCATGATCATACCTGCAGGTGCTTTTTAATCAGTTTGATGGATGTGGCTACTTTAGTGCTATTCAAAGCACGTGGCACATTCTTCATGGCTGAAACATCAGGAAGATTGATTTAAATATTTCTTCTGATTTTGAGTTTCAGCCATTAAGCAGCTGTGCAACCGTAAGCCAATCATGCCTCTGTTCCTCAAAGCACCTTTGTTCCAACATCTACCCCCTTGCAAAAACGGCAAGGAGGACACATGTTCTGACTTCCTCTAA